AAAAAAAAAAAAAAAAAAACAAAAAACGACGTAGATTTTTTTTCCCGCAACTTGCTCGAAAACACGGTTTGTAAGAAGGGAGTCGCGTTTAAAAGATCCGACACGACGTCGTTTTATCGCGGATGAAAAAAATCCCTCTTTATCCGTCGTTAAACGGCGTTAAACTTTAACGTCAAACGATACGCGAACGACATCTACCGAAGATCGGACGAAATCGATCCTAAGAAAATAGAGATTGCCCTTTCGAGATTCGTAGTTCTAGCTAATTAATCCAGTATGCGTTTCGTTAGGTAAGAAAGGATTAGATGAAAGACGATAGAAGCAAAATATATATATATATACACATATGTATATATATATAAAAAAAGATTAGATATCAAACAGAGAGAACGATATTAAACGATTGTTAGATAGTTACGAACAGAACTTGTTACGAACTGGTTTCCGGTAGTTCGATTTTTTAGGAAGGAACGCGCGCTACAAACGATGAACGAATAGATATATATATATTGAAAAAAGAGAGAGAGAGAGAGAGCAGGCTAATAAAAGAGAGAGAAAAAAGAAAGAATATTAATCGTGAAAGACGAAAAAAAATAAATAAAAGTTAATTTAATGTAAGAAAATGGATCGTATTCGTGTAGCACAGTGTGTTTTAAAAAAGGGAATTTTTTTGAAACGCAAAGAAAGAAAGCGTGCCATTGAACGTAAAATTATGAAATTGTGGCACTCTGTTCGTGCCAAAGATATAGATCCAATAGGGAAGACGTCGTGAGAAGCAAGATTCTGAGAATCAATCTGTGCGAGAATAATAATTGAGCTTGGCTTACATTCATTTTTATTTCTTTTGTCTTCACTTACAAATATTAATATTTCAAAGGAAAAAGCAAGGAGAAGAAAGAAAGAAAAAAAAGGAGAAAGATGTAGAAAAGAGAAAGAGAGAAAGAGAAAAAAACAATTTCACTTTGGCTCATGTTTTTATATATCGAGAGAAACGCATGCACGATGTTGCAACAAACAATGGATTCTTAACGATTTAAAATAACAATAACGATGTAGTCTAGTTTTCTACGACAACCATATTTTTTTACGAGACTTATTCTTTAGAGCATTTTTAATTGGAACTGTTGAATTTCACTGTAGAAATTAGCAAATTATATTTTTTTTTTCTTTTAATACGAACATTTGTTTATCATAAAGAAAATTATCGTTCGACCTTCCTTCTTTTCGATTCAATTTCCCATATCAATAGTATTATTTTCGATTAAATCTTCTTAATTGCACTGGAGTTGCGAAAGAAAAAAAAAACGCACGAATTTTTAGCTTGCCGATAAAATAGTTCCAATTTCCATTACATTATTCGTTCGTATCTCGAAGCGATTGCGAGATAGATTTTTAGTTGCGCAACGAGGCGCTATATAGCGAGCGGAGATAGATCGCGTATTCGTCGCAAGGTGTTCTTCCCAGACAAAAAAAAGAAAAAAAGAAAAAAAAACGGGTAGCGGTAAATTCTCGAGTACGATTTTTAACGTATAATAATAAATATCCACGAAGAAATCGACGTGTTTAAACGCACGGCAAACATTAGCCGTGGAAGAGAATAAAGGAAAAAAACAAAAAGAAAAAAGAGAGAAATAATTAACGTGAGACGTAAAAAGTATATATATATATATATATATATACATATATACATACATATATATATATATATATATACATATATATATACATAAAAGAGATATCGTAAACCCCGCTGGAGCAGCTGGCCATGTTGGGCGGGGCTCGTTGTTTCTAGTACGTAAGAGAGTAGATTAAGCGATATGATAAAAGTATTTATTTTTGTGACAGGTAAGTGAATTAATTATTAATCGTGGTAAGAATTTAGCTCGTAAAGACTGCGTGCTGCTAAAGAGAGAGAAGCAGAGGGATAGATGAGGGAGAGGGGCGGGGATAAGAGAGATGAGGAGAAAGACGCAAGGAGGAGGAAGAAGAAAAAGATGGAAACAAGATACGCGTTGATTTTCCGTTCAAAACGATCAGGACATACGAATTTTATTGTAATTAAACGTTTTTGCGATGACTGGACCAAAGCGTCCGTGGAACGGGCGATGACGATTCGAAATAATATATTTAATCATTTTCCATCACTGCCTAACTTCCGATTAACTTGTATATAAGAACGGATACACTGGAACGAACGGGAGAGAAGGAATCGCAGAATGCATCGGGGAAAAAAAAAAAAAAAAAAAGAAAACTTCGAAACTTCGACCTCATCTTGATGGAAGAAGAAACGAAGAGATGTCGAAGTAGAATCAATAATTCGATAAATCGCTCGTGAGATTTTCGTTTCTATCGTACATTTACCAGAAGATATTCCGTCAATTGTGAAATTATATTAACTTCTTTCGATCGACTTCTTGCAACCATGAGTTACTTCGTTCGAACAGTTCGTTTTTTTTTTTTTTTTTTTTTTTACTTTTAAGAGGAAAAATTGCACGATGCATCCGATCAACGAAGGTGGATTCTATAAAAAGGAGGGAAAACGAAACGAAATATATTCAATGGAAATATGAGAACGAAAAGGAAAAGGAAATATATCTGTAGTGCACGACCGGAAATGCCGGAATAGAGATTTCTCCGATTTTTAGCAGC